ATTACAGTCCCTGATCTTAGTTTCCTTTATCCTTCACCCTCTCAGGTGGGGAACTTTAAAGTGTTGCACAGTGTGGAGGCTAAAGCAACTCTCTTGGATGCTCATCTGCCATGCTGACTTGTTTTTCCTTTTTACCCTAATTCCATGGAAGATTACATGTTGACTTCTGATTAACCCGAGTTCTGGGAATTACTCGAAGATTTGTACTTTATCTACTGTTACCTTAAATCCTGCCCTTGCGTCAAAACAACCTTGACCATAAATCCTGCCCATAGGAAGATTCACATAGCATTCTTGCCTCTCCCTGAGGGGCCGACTTCAATTCTCCCACACATTCTTTTCCTTTAGTTTATGTGTCTTGACTCTGGGGGTGACAGCATGGAGATGCACCATCTTTTTTCGCAGCCACTGGGGACATGGCTTCTGTTCATAAGTCTCTATTAAATGTTTTTTTCTGAGAAACTGGACTTGTCAGCCTCTTTGACTTTTCAGCTTTTGTGGTCTTTGAGGGTAGGTTTGTACATACCTGCTCACTTTGAAACACATGCAGTGATATTATGAATTTCGATGTTATTCCATTTGGAATTATTTTTGCTATTGTTCTCTTTTATTAGAAAAGATTGGTTGGATTTGATTAACTTTTTGTGTCCTGAATCTGTATATTTGCTCCTTTCTCTGCAATGATAGCCTAACAAATCTTTGTAGCTATTAACTCATTTCCATCTCACTGCAGTTTAGCTCATGGAACAATTGATTTTGCTGAAGTTCACTTTAATATTATGATGATTTAATGAATCAAGAAATTTCTACTTGCAGAGTGCAGTGGAAAAATCATTGACTGTGAAGTCAGGCAGAACTGGGTTTTGGGCCCGGATTCAGCCCCTTTGCTAGCTAATATAGTTTGGCTCTGTGTCTCAACCGAAATCTCACCTGAAATTGTAATTCTCATAATCCCCAAGTGTCAAGGGTGGGACCAGGTGGAGGTAATTGGATCTTGGGGGCAGTTTCCCCCATGCTGTTCTCATGATAGTGAGTTCTCATGAGATCTGATGGTTTTGTAAGTGTCTGGCATTCCCCCTGCTTGCATTCATTCTGTCCTGCTGCCCTGTAAAGAAAGTGTCTGCTTCTCCTTTGCCCTTGCCATGATTGTAAGTTTCCTGAGGCCTCCCCAGCAATGCGAAACTGTGAGTCAATTAAACCTCTTTCCTTTAT